AAATCCCACCTCCTGGTACCTCCTGGTAGATTGCATCCCACCTGCCTGGGCGCTTTAGAATAAAAGCCCTCCCCTCCCCTCCCCTGGCCACTCCCCTGAGAAATCCCAGAGGTGGAAACTGGACCAGGCCCTGGCCCGGCCATCCTGTCACCAGACTTTGTGCCTGAGGTTTTGCTTTGTCCCTGTCCACCTGGCAGGAACACACTGAACTCCGCTGTCCTGATGCCAACCAACCCTTTCGGCCCTGGGAGCCTCAGGCAGATCTCTTCCCATACACCTGGTGTGGCTGATGGCTGGAGCCCCCACCCCTCCTGACCAGCCCTCCCCACACCCCTAGCAGCCTAGGGCAGCCTAGGGCAGCTCCACCTTCCCACCTCGCCCACACCTTGCCCGCACCCCGTCCACACTCTCGCTCATACCCCTAGTCCTCAGTCTGGCCACGAGTCTTGTCTGGTCACCCCTGGTCACAGTCAGACACGTGCCGTGGCCGCCCAACCCAGGACTCAGAACATGCCTGTCCTTCATGCCCGTGCTCTCCCTCACGCACGCACCTTGCTTGCTCATCTGTCTCTTTGCTTTTTTTTTTTTCTTTTTTTATTAGTGAAAAACCATGAGGTACAGTTATAGGCTTACAAATTTTGTGCTTGGGTTTCAGTTATACAATGATCAAGTGCCCATCCCTCCACCAGTGCCCGTCATCCATCCCCACGGGTCCCAGCATCCCCCCCCCAACCCTCATCCCCCCCCCTCCCATCCTGCCTCTGTGGCAGGGTATTCCCCCTTGTTCTCTCTCTCTTCTTTCGGGTACTGTGTTTTGCAAGAGAGGCTTTGAGTGGCAATCATGTTTGGTCTGTCTCTTTGCTTTTTCTGCTCTGGAAAAGCCCATGCTCTCTCCTTGAATGTGTACTTCCTCTCTTTCTTCCCCCTCATATCTTTCTGTAGCCCTGCAGCACTGTCCTCCCGTTGTTCACTGATTTGCTCAAGCAGACACCAGTAACGTCTCCATTGTGAGACTTGTTGTTACTGTTTGGCATATCGAATATCGAATACATCACAGGTAGTTTCCCAGGCTTTGCCGTGCGGGCAAGATATTCTCGGTAGCTTGCCGAGCATAACTTTCTTTTTTTTCTTTTTTTGTGCTTTTTGGGTCACACCTGGCGATGCACAGGGGTTACTCCTGGCTCTGCACTCAGGAGTTACTCCTGGTGGTGCTCAGGGGACCATATGGGATGCTGGGAATCGAACCCGGGTTGGCCGCGTACAAGGCAAATGCCCTACCCGCTGTGCTATTGCTCCAGCCCCTGGGCATAACTTTCTAATATAAAATCTATCTTGCTAATTAAAACAACAACAACAACAACAACAACAACAAAAAACAACCACCACCACTCTGCACAGCACTCAGGACTCAGCACAGCACCCAGGGCTCAGCATAGGACTCAGAACTCAGCACAACATTCGGGACTTCTCAAAGCACCCAGTGCCCGACCACAGCACAGCACCTACACACATCCTGGGCACTCAGTCAGCCTCTGCTCACTCAGTGACAAAGTTACAGGTGCTCTTTTTTTCCCATCTGGGAGTCTGCTGAGGAGGAAAGTGACAGTCCCACCCAGGAACGTTTGTCCGTAGACCTACTATGTGCCAGGTACGCGACCGGCTGTTGGGCTGAGGAGAGACCTAAAGACGAATGGTCCAGGTTTCAAGCAGAAAAACTTCCCATCCTAAAGGTGCTCTTGCCCTCGGTTCCCCTCTCAGTCCCCAAAGACTGAATGCACTCATTTGTGGAATATAAAATAACATGAGACTGACACCCAAGGACAGTAAACACAAGGGCCAGGAAGATTGCCCCGTAGTGGGAAGCCTCTCTCATGAGCTGGGGGAGAAGGCAGCTGGGATAGAGAAGGGATCACTAAGACAATGACAGTTGCAGGAATCGTTCGGGATGGGAGATGTGTGCTCAAAGTAGATAAAGGACCAAGTGCCTCACTCAGTATCTGTATTGCAAACCATAATGCCACAAAGTAGAGAGAGTATGGGGGAAATTGTCTGCCATGGAGGCAGGGGGAGGGGTGGGATAGGGGAATACTGGGGACATCGGTGGTGGAGAATGTGCACTGGTGGAGGGATGGGTGTTTGATCATTGTATGACTGAAACTCAAACATGAAAGCTTGGTAACTGTATCTCACGGTGATCCAATTAAAAGAAAAAAAAAAAAGACTGAATGAAAACTCCCAAGACCAGAGCAGGTGGGCAGCTGCCGAGAGCAGGCCCTGGTGCCCAGAGCAGCTCCTGTGGGCTCAGGCTCCTTGGAGTGCCTGGTCACAGGTGAGGAGAGATGCAACTACAAGGGGCAAGGGGGCTGAGGCGAGTCTGGGTCTGGGGGGTGGGGGGGCGTCATGGGTTGAGGTGTCCTTAAGGGCAGGAGGGGTCCATAAAAGAGGGGACAAAGGTGCCCGAGGTGGCGAGTCAGAGGGTCCGGCTGGAGCTGAGGCCTGGACACAGCAAATGTGGGGTCTGCCAGGAATTATGCATGTGCCACACTGTCCCGAGCTGCCTGGGGGACAGGCCAGCACCTGCCACAGAGTGGCAGCACAGGGACCAGCCATGCCACGCAAAGAGGAAGCCTCAGTTTACCCTTGTCAGCTGCTATAAGCTCTTTGGGCTAGCCCATCCTTACACATTTGGACTCCCTGCAAATTCCTGGGCTTTTTCTGATAAACGGAGTTAACAATTGTTCATCATAAAATCCTGCTCCAGAGCTTGGGCTCACAGGGAAACTGAGATAATGGATGATACCTGAGGCCAGGCAGATGGCCAGAAAGACTCAAACCAGCCTGACCGCCATGTAGATTCCCTGCATTCTCTGTGGTACTGTCAACTAATTGGAAACGCAAAGGGCCTGTAAAAAGGCCCACCCGAAACCCTTACTTTCACTTGCTCCTCTACCAAGCTCCTCCCTGCTTGGGGAGCTCCTTTCTTTTTCTCTTCTCCTTTCCAATAAACTTTTCTACTTTCCAACTCTGAGTCTGAACATCTTTATTACTCAACATTTTCACTCTTGAAAATATTGTGAAGAACTTGGGAATTGGGAACGAACACAGAGACCCACCGCGGCTGCTTCCAGCTCACCTGATTGACCACGTGCCCAGAGCACTGTGCCGGGAACCCTCCCCACCCCCCGGCTCTGACGCCCCTCCTCTAGGGAGTCTCCCTTTACCTCCTGCCCTGGGCCTCCCTGACCCGGGAGGAAGGGCAGCTGCAGGCGACTGTACTGCCAGGAACTCACTATATCCTACCCCTAGCTGCTTCCCCAGCCTGGGACAGTAAGAAGGAAAAAAAAAAAAACTTTGCAGGAAGAACAAAAGTCTCCCCAAAACTGAAGGAAAAAAAAAATAACCACAAAAGTCCCAAGAGATTTTTCTGGCTCATCTTCAAGGCAGGAGATCTGGGAAAGGAAATGTAGTGACATACATGGACTGGAAGATGTCACCGATGGAGGGAGCATGTATGTGTGTGTGTGTGTGTGTGTGTGTGTGTGTGTGTATGCGTGCATGCACATATGTGTATGTATACATGTGCGTGAATGTGAGTGCACGTGTGTGTGTGTGCAGGTATGTATGTGAGTGTATGTGCGTACATGTCAGTGTGTGTGCAGGCATGTGCAAAAGTATATGTGCGTACATGTGTGTGCCTACGCGTGGTCGTGAGATGCACAGGGCCTGAGTGTGCAGGCATATGCGTGAGTACATGTATGTGCATGTGCAGGCATGTGCGTGCGTGTATATTCCTGTTAGGAGTCACTGTGCATGTCTCCCCTGGGTTCTGTGAGCCCCGCATGGTGCTTCCTCTCTCTGAGCAGCAGGAGACCCCGGCCCAGGGCTGAGGAGGAGCGTGGAAGGTGCTGAGCGCGGGGTTGGGCAGTGAGGGGGGGCCCAGTGGGCGGCAATAAACGGCTGTGATGGGGCAGAAGAAGGAGGCCCTGGGGGGAGGGGGGACACCCGGGCTGACTCCCAGGCTGGGGCATGGGTCTGGGCTGACTGAGGGGCTTCTCCAGTCAGCTTCCCCCGCGCTGTGTTCAGCTGCCAGGCCTGGCATCCTGCAAGCCCTGGGACCACATAGGGTAAAAAGCCAGCAGTGCCCCTCTCTCCCCGACAGGCAGAGGCTCTGACTGGAACTCAGTAGGTCCCTGAGTTGGGGTACTCCCCCACCCCCGCGCCCCCACGCAAAACCAGCCCTGGCCCCAGCCTCCCTGGCCCAAGCTGGGGTGTGACACGTGCGGTCCTGAGATGCACAGGGCCTGGAGGGGCCGACGGCTGGGCAGGGCCAGCCTACCTCATGGCATTAGAATTTTGAGCATAAAACACGAAATTTTACACTGAGAGCTATCTGTCACAGATGCTTGGTCAGGCGCCCCCTAAAGGACGGAACCGTTCTCCTCTGTGTGGTTTTTCAGTCAAGACACTGGAGATGTAGAAGGTACAGGTGTGTCCCACTGGGCAAGAGACGAGCACCCCACCCCCACCCCCGGCTGAGGCTCCCACACCCGAGCCTCCCTGCCCCCACAGGACAGAGATCTTTGAGGCTGTTTCTCTTGCTCTCCCCTCTACTGCTTGACCACAGTCGTTAACGCAAAAGATGTAGACGTGAATGCAAACAAGTGCTATACATACTTAACAGGCACCTGGAGACTGGCAGAAAAAGTCCCCCATGAAAGGACACTGGACCCCCTCCAGGAAGAGGGGACAGCCCGTGGTGTGGAGAAGGAAAGGGGCCTTTGGAGGGTGCCCCCATGCCCCAAGAAAGCATGAATCTCTTTCCCAGGGAGGGGAGGGCTGACCAAGGCTGGGGGCTCCTGTTCTGCATGGTCACCCGGTCAGTCCTGGGATTCCGTGGCTACCATCACTGCTGATGACCCTGCCCAGCATGGCGGTGCCGGTGTTCGACCACCTGGCAGGGTACAGGGCATCACCCTCTCCCGGCGTGGCCCGTAGCCTACCTTCCTCTCCTTGTCCCCATACTCGATGCCCAGAGTGTCCATGGCCCGGACGATGGCGGCCAGGGACTGGATGGTGTTGCTGTAGACCACGGGCTTGTACTGCTTCACATCTTCCCCGGAGAAGCCGTCCTCGTGGATGATCCTGGGGAGAAGCAGAGACACAACAGAGCCCGTGAGGGTCGGATGCCGCCTCCCACATGCGGGGGGAGGAGGGGGGGCTCCGGGCCGCCCCCGTGGGCACACGCAGAATTCCCCGTCATGTAGGAGCAGGCAAAGCCCCACCTGGGGGAGCACACGCATCTTGGCAGGGCTAACCCAGCTGTGAACACGCCGGCAGGCCCAGTGGGCAGGCAAGGAAGAGTGGGCAGCAGGGAGGACTTCAGGGGCCCCCGCAAGAAGCAGCCTTCAGGAGACTCGGCCCTCCCAGGTCCGTGCCCGTGAGCCCCCACAGCTCTGATCACGGGGGACCCTCTGCAGGGACACCCATTCGCCCTCCCTCCGTCCCTGGCAGACAGGTGGCTACCGGGCCAACACCCTTCTTTGATGGTTCTCAACAGTGATTCCGCAGAGACAGGGGACCTCATGGTTCGCCAGGCCATGCGGCATGGTACCCTCGCTCAGCTACCCCCGTGCCCCCTCCCACTACTCAGGTTCTTTTGAGGTCAGGATCAAGGCTAACTGTGCTCCAGGCTCCATCTCCCTGCCAGGGCCAAGGCTGGCTGGCTCCAGGCTCTATCCTCCCTGCCCATGGTGCCAGCCAGTCCATGTTCCTGTGACAGGTCTGGGCAGGAGAAAAAGTGAGGAGGAGAAGGCATAGAAAAGGTTGCCGAGAGCCCTCACAACTGAGGCAACTGGGGCCGGAGCGATAGCACAGAGGAGAGGGTGTTTGCCTTGCATGTGGTCGACCTGGGTTCAATCCCCGGCATCCCATAGGGTCCCTCAAGCACTGCCAAGGAATAATTCCTGAGTATAGAGCCAGGAGCAACTACTGAGCATCACCGGGTGTTGTGACGCAAAAAAAAAAAAAAAAAACAACTGAAGCAACTGTGGAAGGATGAATGGTATGTGTATGTGTGTGTGTGTGTGTGTGTGTGTGTGTGTGTTGGAGGGGGGTAGAGGCTAGGCAGACCACCCCGCTGTGTGCAGGGCTTCCTCCTGGCTCTGCACTCAGGAATTACTGCTGGCGGGCGCTGGGGATAAACCCTTGTTGGCTACATGCAAGGCAAATGCTTTACTTGCTGGACTATTGCTCTGGCCCTCTCTAGACCTCGGGCTTATGGAAGGATGGATTTTAGTGGGAGTGGATGGGCTAGATCACACCCGGCAGTAGTCAGGGCTTATGCCCAGTTCTGTGCTCAGGGGGTTCCTTCTGGAGGTTGCTCAGGAGACGAGGCAGTGCTGGGGATGGAACCAGGTTCAGTGGCAGGCTTTACCCTAGTCCGAGCTCACCGAGAGAATGGATCTTAAGCCTCACGCTCACCACCAGCCGACCCCGGTAACTGCACTGACCTTTGCTGCTTGCAGTGACACCCAAAGCCTCCGGTAACACAGCAGACCCCTAACAGAGTATCACAGCCGGGTCTTGGGCTGAATCCTGTGCATTTTGACATTCTCTTCAGAGCAGGTGGAGCTTGCTGACACTTTCTGAAGAAATGCTTTCTCAAGATATAATTCGCGGGGCTGGAGCAATAGCACAGCGGGTAGGGTGTTTGCCTTGCACACGGCTGACCCAGGTTCAATTCCCAGCATCCCATGTGGTCCCCCGAGCACCACCAGGAGTAATTTCTGAGTGCATGAGCCAGCAGTAATCCCTGTGCATTGCCGGGTGTGACCCAAAAAAGCAAAAAAAAAAAAAAAAAGATAATTCGCATACCACAAAACCTACCCATTTAAGGGGCACATGTCAATGCTTTAGAGTTGCGGGGCTGGAGCAATAGCACAGCGGACAGGGCGTTTGCCTTGCATGCGGCTGACCCAGGTTTTATTCCCAGCATACCATCTGTTCCCCCGAGCATCGCCAGGAGTAATTCCTGAGTGCATGAACTAGGAATAGCCCCTGTGCATCGCCAGGTGTGACCCAAAAAGCAATAAATAAATAAATAAATAAATAAAGTAGAGTTGCAAGTTTGGGGAAACGACTACCACAATTTAAGGACAGCTGGTCCTTCTCCCACCCCAAATCCCCAGTGTCCACTGGCGGTCACTCTCCCATGCTCCATCCACCCCCGGAAAGCAACCACTAATCTACATAAAGCCGTGGCTTCTGAACATGCCACAGAAATGAGATCCCAGACGGGGTCTTCTGGGATGGCTTTGGTTCGCTAAGCATCGTGTGCAGGTCTGAACGATAGCACAGCAAGGAGGGTATTTGCCTCACATGCAAAGTTCGATCCCCTGACATCCCATATGGTCCCTCTGCCAGGAGTAATTCCTGAGTTTATCGAACCAGAAGGAACCCCTAAGCATCGATGGGTGTGACCTAAAAAGCCAAACACAAACAAGCAAAAGTGCTTAATATCATGTTCTAAGGGTGTTCCCGTTCCTAACATGGATCACTTTATTTTTTCCCCAGCTCTTTAACAGGACCACTGCAGGGGCTGTGGGGTGCCAGGGATGGACCTAGGGCCGACCACACTGGGCACAGACTCTACCACTGGAGCTCTCTCCAGCCCACAGTTCCTTCCTTCCCTCCCACAACAAGTAATATCCCATCACATGGACAGGCTTATTTCACTTGGCTGTCTCTCAGGAGGCCAACCCTAGTGGGTCCTGTTGCAACTTAGCCCTGCACCTGAGTTTTCGAAGAAGTAGATGGCACCGAACCGTGGGCCCTTTGTTGGGCTGGTATTTTCAGGGCCAGAGCGTGAATATGGCAGGGAAGTACCTGCTTCACATGCAGCCAACAAGGGCATCCCATACGGTTCCCTGAGCCCTGCCAGTGGGGATCCCTGAGCACAGAAGCAGGAGTAAACCCCAGGCACAGCTGGATGTGGTCCCCAAATAAACAAACAAACAAAGCCAAAACAAGGGCTTATATTGGCCCAGCATGTACTTGGTACAAGCAGCAGGAGTCCACATCCGGTCCAGATCCTGGGCAAGCCACCCCGGAGGCCCTCTTCGGGCCCTGCCAGCTCCCGCTGTCAACAACCAGAGAGAGAAGTGAACGGGCTCTTTCAGAGTGTGGGGACGGTGTCCCAGGGAGGAGGGAGGGCAGGCACTTGACCCGCTCATGCAGCGGCCACCTTCCTGGGGAGCCCAGAGCAGAGGCAAACAAAGAGCGTGAGCAAACCAGAGGGGGGTCCAGGCTCCTGAGCTAGGGGGCCCCTGTGAACCTCGGCCTACATGGGGTGAGACTTCACAAGCTGGGCAAGGAACCAAGGGAAGGGAGCTTTTAAGTAGAACGCTTCCACAGTTCATTTGAGGCTGAGGGCTTCAAACTCCGAGCAGCTATAAGTGAGGGTAATTGATGCACACTAGAACATTCTGCAGATCCCCGAGAAGGCTCACACCATGGTGGGATCAAGGGTGGAGCTAAATTCACCCCAGATTAAAGACCACGACTGCCTGACATAATTTGAAAGTCTAGAAAAAACAAACAAACAAACAACAAGTTGACCCCTAAGATTTTTAATTGTCTGAAAGAATAAATTCTAATACTCGCTCCTTGGGGGTGAGGTCACACATGGCGGTGTTCAGGGCTTATTCCTGGTTCTGTGCTCAGGGCTCACTTCTGGTGGGAATCGGGGGACCATATGGGGGTGTCGAAGATGGAACCCAGATCAGCCACGTGGACGGTCCCCTGAGCATCACCAGGAGTGATCCCTGGGCACAGAGCCAGGAGTAAGTACTGAACACTTCCAGCTATAGCCCCAAACCCCCTCACCCCCAAATTCAGAGGATGTTTAATAATCCATAGCCAACAAATAATCCCTGGATATACAAAGCAGCAGGAAAAGTATACCTATAAGCAGGAGAAAAACCAAAGGAAGCAAACTCAGTGGAACTCAGAGAGACGGAGATGCTGTAATTAATAATCAGTAACACCTACTTCCAATACTTTCAAAAGACTGAAGGAAAAACATAAACGTAATACAAGAAATAAGAACCCCAAGGGGGATGTCTATGATGAAAATAGAACATCTGAAATTGCAAGTCTGGTGTTGGGATGGGAAGCATGAGGCACACAATAGTGGACTCAGTCACAGCAACAGAAAGTATTCAAACTGGGGGCCACGGCAACAGTAGAGCGAGCAGAGCACTTGCCTTGCGTGTGGCTGACCCAGATTTGATCCCTGGCATCCCATCTGGTCCCTTAAGCCTGTGAGAGGAGTCTGAGCTTGGAGTCAAGAGTCAGCCCAGAGCAATACCAGGTATGCCTGCCACTCCCCAAACACAAAAGCAAAGAAACTAACAAACGAAAAGTATCCAACCAGAAGCAGAGAAACAAAAGGCTGGAACCTGTGATGTTTATAGTACGGATAAGGCCCAAACTCCTGTACTAACAGTACAAAGATTGGGGGGGGGGGGGGGGGGCGGAGCGCGGGCAGTACTGCATGGAGAGATACTGTGTCCTGGACACTGAAAGATGTATGAAGTGGAGTGACATGATGGACGGCAAAGGGACAAGACACATGTGTAAACCCCAGAACAACCACTAGCAAACAGGCTACAGAAGAAGGGGGGTGAGGGGTGCTACTCAGCCCCTGTGATCTGATGCCCCTCTGAGGTGACCTGAGAGCTAGGCCCATGCTGGGCTCTCCCACGTGGCCAGGCCCTCTGCCGGCCACCCAGAGAGCAGATGTGACGATTCTTTTCACTACCCACTAGTCTCACCCATCTTCCTGCCACCCAGGAAGCAAGGGAAAGTTGATTTTTTTTTGTTACACCCGTTTCACAGAAATGTCACTGAGGCCAAGAGGGGTCACGTGGAGTCAGGGCCAGGACAGAGCCCAGGCCTCCTAGTTCCCGTCCTTCCTCCCCAGGGGCTGGACCAGGCGAGAGCATCTCAACCTGGCACCTCGGGTAAGAGAGGGAATAAGGTGCTTTTGTGCACGGCTTGCGGAAGTGATTGGGATCTGGGGAAAAACTGCTTGCCTCATGAAGATGACTTCCGTAACTCATTCAAAACTGGCTTGTGTTCGC